ATCACTCATTAAATATACACTGGCGCTTTGGTCCTTGCTTTTAAGAAATAAGGGTCTAACACAAAAACTAGCTAGAGAATTTACTCCTGCCTGCATGGAGGCAAAACACCATGTGGTCACTAAATGGCCAAACAAGCACCATAAACCATTCCCTCAGATGGAGCAGAATTTGCCCTCCTTCTCCAATGTCAAAGTAATTTTAAGTGACTAAAGACAACTCAGATTTTTTGATCAGCCTAATAGGTGGGTTCTCTGCTACTGTATTAGGGACATTTGTCTCAAACTGGTAGCTAGTGCCAAGCCTCAAAGCCAGATTCATTTTCATTACAGCTACGTCTTGCATGAGTCCAAAGGGCACCAAGTGTTAAATGACCTGAGAACAAAGTCCCATAGCTCCCTGGTTAGATAGATGTACACGATACTTCAAGAATTGCTTCCAGAAGGGACTAGTTTAACACAGCTCTTGCTGCCTTGGCTATAGAAAGAAGTCAGCTGATGGCTATATGCCGCCTTAAACAAGAATATCAAGTTCAAATCAAAACTGCAGGAGAATTTTGGACTGACAGTCAGTCCTGTCACCAGGACTGTACTTGCTAGCATCAACTCAAACACCTTCCTGTTTTGATTTGGTGTACCGAGCCTAAGAACATGCCGTCCAATGCTGGATTTTAAGTTTCATTGCCACACTTCTCAGTAAATCAGAGGCATCACTTCCCAAGACTCCACAATTCCAGTTCTCCGATTTACCTATTGTAAACTGTCAGTATCAAACATTGATTCCTGAGCTACCTTGACACTTAATTTATTTTCAACAGGAACAGCAGATATAAGCATCTGTCAAGGACTGGGCATCACAGGAACATATTCTTTCTGATATTCAAAGTAGCCAACATACATAGAAACTTATTACTGCTTTTGTCCAACAAACTGAGCATGGTTGGGAAGAAGCAACACCACAACATAAACCCTGAGCCTTCCCTGAACATCAAAAATTGCTCTATTAAAAATATACTTACCATGCAACATTGCCCTCACACTACCAATCTAAGATTAGTAAGTAGTTTCTGATATAAAAATGTAATAGTAGTAAATGCAATATAAGGTATAACACATGCAATGTGTTTGCCTATTCAATACAGGATTTATTTAGCAAAGTTTACAACAGAAGTGCACCAGTCACCCTAAAAAAATCATAACGCAAGGTAGTGCGGCTGTAACCCACATCTTTGCACTCACAAAGAAGCAACTCCTCTCTCTCTCTCCCCCCTGCCTCTCCTGCGGATGCTCAATGCTTTCTGCAGTTCGGCTGTAAGACAGAACTGCCTCCAGTTAAGAGTGAAACTGTGGCTCTGCTTGACAGCATTACTCTCCCGCAAAGTAGTAATGAATGGAAAGAATGACAGCCTACACAGCCTACAACAGTAGCTGTGAGGTCCAGGTGGGCAGCGTATTTACAAGGGCACATTTTAATATGTGAGTTTATTTCATCGCAATCATGGTAATTGTGTTTTGGTCAAAATTGAGAAATATTTTTAAAACCTATTATAATTTAGATTTTTCTGTTATTAGAGCTGCAAGCTTACTAAAGATTGTTCTTTGGTGTTACATATTCATGATCCCTCTTACAACTCCTCTGTTGACAGTGTATTTTTCTAAATCAGAGTATAACAGATACTAAAGTCCAAAACCAAGTCCAGCTAGGCTCAGGCTTAGTTGGCATGGCCAATGAAAGATACTATCCTCCTAGAAAAAAAGACATACAGAAATGATACGTTAGGTGTTTTTGATAGCCTTCATAGTCTAAGCATCTCATACCACTATGTACAGAAAAACCTCTCGAGAGGTGGTCCCATTGCACCGCTTTCAGTGTTTGCTACAGCCCCCCTTGCCAGCTGCTTAGTGCTTACACAAAACTATTTGCTTCCTTGGAGTCAGCAAAATTAACATAGTCCAAATTTCTAAGACAGAGCAATTACTCTGAAGAAGTTTTAAGAGCAAACTTTGTTTAGTAATTATGAAGAGCATTTCTGAAGCCATGATTATCCAAGACTGACACAGTCGGTACAACTAGTTTGCTCGCAATGCAGTACCCCAGTTTGTAAGATAAAATGTTGCAATGTTTCAGGAGTTCCACAGAGTTTGATTACATTTGTGCTATAATTAAGTTGCATTCATCCTTGCTTACTACCAGCAAACAGATTCAGAATTGTAGCCCAACAACTGGGCTTTAAGAACAGCGACCTCAACAACTATGCTGACTTACAAAAACAGACTTCTAAATGAATAATTAGAATACAGAAAATTTTGCACCACAAAAAAACAACACAAAGTGGAAAAGTTTCAACAAACTCACTCTAAATTAAGAAGGAAATAAATTAACAGCGTACTTGTGATTGTAAAACTACTTTGCTTGAGGGGAAATTCTGCTTGGCTGATGAACATCTGAAAGGCTTCAAAAGATTAATTAAATAATCCTATGGAAAACACAGTTGTTCCTTAATGCTTCCATAATGAATAATACTAATTATGAATATATACTGTACTCAGTGTGTGGTTTTGGAATTAATTTGGCAACTGTGACCTTAGTTGAAGTATCACTACTTGCATCAGAACTGCCTAGATTTTATTTTTGGAGGGATTTATGAATTGAAGAACTCAATTTATTCACTGCTTAACAGTGAAATAAGAGCATCAGAGGTTAAGACAGAAGCTTTTCAAGAAAACCTAAAGAAATAAAGAACTGCATCTATAGGCAAGAAATGTAGTGTTGCTGGTTTGGGCTTTATTTACTTATTTATTTAGCAGTTTGTTCCCCCTCACCCACCTCTAGAGTTCTGAGAGGACCACCCAGGGTCAGAGAAGAAGCTGTGACCTTTCATTAAAGATGCACTGGCTAGATTATTCAAGGAATCCCTATTAATCACAAACAAAAACATGAGAACAATTAGGGAGCTTGGAGCAAGAGGAAACAATGAAATTTCATGCCCAGTTGGGCCCCTACCAGATTTTCAGAGTTTAAGGGGAAGCGTTGCATTTGCAATGCCCGCTACAACCAGTGCCTCAAGTATACCCTTGAATTATTGTGATCCATTAGTCAAAGTTATGCCTACAGAACAGATGTAACAGCCATATCCCAAAACCAAGCTATATTGCTTTAAGATCTAGTTACCACAATCCAAGTGTAAAAACAAAGCAACAAAAGCTCTCAGCCTCAAGATGAGGATCTGGGCCAAGACTGGGACTTAAGTGCAGTCAACCATTACCCCTTCACTGTTACTGTCATGTGCTCAGGAAACGATTTGCCTAAGCTTACACTGCAATCACATTTGGCTTTGCTCTGCAGGTGTAACTAGCCCAACTGCGGTAACTGACTACATGAATTACAAGTCCCTTAAGACATAATATTTTTTCATTTACATGGGTTTTGCCTTTAAAAAACAAATTAATAGTAGGTTGGCATCAATACCATCTTCCTACAAGTGGCAATAACCAACTGCTACAGGAATAAATCAGAACTAAAGCCATTGATAACCCAGTTCTTATGCATATTCATGTCCCACATTTGCAAGAATCTTATTTTATGGAAATCAGAATTTAATACAGTAAATACACTGCAAGTTCATCAACTCTGAATACTAAAAAAGAAATGTCGACGCTGTATTTCTCCTTTTTTAAACAAATATTACAAAATTGAATTTTATTGAGTTTCACACAAGATGCACTTATAAAACTGATACATAATGTCATTCAACAGAAAAAAAAAAGAAAGCAATTCCAAACTTTCTTTAGCAACTGGTAAATAATTAAAAAATAAGATACACCAAATTGACAGATAATCTGAATTTCAGTGTGAACATCTCCAATTAGTATAAAACCCATCAAAAATTAAAGAACTTCAGAATTTTCCCCAGCACAAGTCCTCTTTTTTCACTCTCATCCCTGAACAGTAACCACAGGTTTTGGCCATTACTGCAGGTCTTGATCTCCATTATTCTTGATCGGAGAGGAGAGGCTGAAAGACTGCAGCAAGAAGTTCCCACCAGAGCAGACCCCGTTAACCTGTATGGCAAAGCTATCTCATTACCAAGTCTGCTCAGTACATTGTAACTCTGTCCAACTGTCTCCATTTGCTGGACTACTGTAGTCCTGCAAGTTTCGTGGATTAGCGCATACATTAAACTTTCACAGGTTCATAAAGCAAGTAAACTTTGGCTTTCCCACTCTGACAAATTATGAAATTAGCAAAGAGCAAGTTTTGTCTTCATCTGTTCAGTACTGAAGTACTTTTATGATACTTTCCCTTGGAAAGTGAAACTGCTGCTTACTTAAATATCTGAAAGGCATTTGAAGTTAATGTTGTGTTTTAACAATATACAAAGAATTTATCATTAACTAAAGGGTCTCTTCTGATACAAGTCTCCAGCCTAAGTTTTGAGTTCAAATTTATCCCATTCTTGGTCTAAGAATTCCAAACCATCTTTCATCAATTCTCCCACAATTTCTGGTGTGAGCTGCAGTTAAGATGCATTGTAATGCTTAAATGCTCTTTATAGATCTAGTCCATCTACTTAAGTTTGGCTAAAACCAATCAATTAAAATGGCTAATTCTGATTTGATTGTCAGTATGAGCTTTTATAGGCATGTTCTCAGGCAAGTTAATACAGAGATGTCATTCTTAGCAGAGTTAAACCAGAAAGCAGTCTAATATTCTTTGCTGCTGCGTTATTGCCATACATACTGTTCCAACACAACATCTGCTTGCTGCAGTTAACACTGCCTTTCCTCAACATATAGAAGCGCCCCTTTATTATTTTTTTCCTACAGCAACAAAAAATCCTCAGCTTTTAAAAATAATTTTATAAATAATTTGCCTTTCAGGACACACAACATGAGAAATGAATATGCTTCATATTTGCCCAGTTAAGCAGAACCTTCATTACTGTGATCTTTCCTTGGTGTTTAGTACTTAGATAAAATAGTATGCAGTTAAGTCTTTCATTTAAAGGCAAAATTTTATTCTGATTACAAGATTTGCAAGATACATCTTGAAAAGATTTTTGTTGACAAGAGTAACTATCTTGACTTACTGTTTCATGTACCAATGCTTTATGCGTTTGTTGATATAAGCACAAGTTTCGAATTCTGCTTGCAGATGTTTAATAAAACAAGGTAACTAGAAAGGCAAGCTGCCGGTCAAGTTGTCATACATTTCCAGGAAAATCCTTACACTGGAGGAACCTTCATGAAAAGTAGTATGATCTGGAAGCATGGTTTCATAGTGCAGAACAGGATTATGCTTTTTTCCCAGTCTATTTTCCAGAAAAGTGATACTGCAGCTCTGCCACCACGCTAGAGACTCACGATCCACCACATTTTCCAAGAGGCGAGTTAAAGATCACTTACTTGACCTGACCAGATACCAAGCCAAGTTACTTGTAGAAAGAAATTAATATTTTTTGCCATTAATAATTTAAGTTTTTAAATAAATATTTATGTGCCTTTTTTTGGCAATTGTCCATTCTGGTAGCATTTGCTGTCCCACCAGCTCAGTATCCTTAGCACATTGATTAAAAAAAAAAAATAAATCTTAGTCAATTCTGTTTCCACAAATAGTAAACCTGTCTATCTCCAACAAGTCTTTCTTTGAAGACCTGTGTTTCAATTCTGAACTGTCTTGGCTTATATCTTTTTCTTCTCCATCAGGAGTTGTCAGAAATTGATCAGAATTGCTTGTTACAAGTAAAGATGGCGTATTCTCCTTCTGATGCACAGGTTGATTGGTAACTGATGTAGATCCATTTTCATCTGTGGAAATTCCTGTTGGAACAGAAGACAATTAATAAAATAATAGTGAATTTAACACAGACATACTGATGAATCTGTAACATCCAGATTCATCCAAAGTTGCATCAACTACTGTGCTGCATTAAATCAGCAGAAGCAACAGAAGAATGCTTTGAGGAAGCCACTACCTCTTCTTAGTTTTACCATAAGAGATTTCCTTTTCTAATTTGGTAAAAAGATAGAAAATGAATTCTACAGAAGTTCAGGTAACGAGCAAGAACATAAGCAGCAGATGTTAGGACATACACTGCATTCTTTTGGTTTACATACTCATTTTTGTTGGCTTAGGCAAAAAGATTTTTGAGTCATTGTGTGAATCACACAAGTATTTTCTACTGAAATGAAAAAAGGAATCTCTGTAGCAGGAACTAGATGTGCCTAATCCTCTACGTAAGTACAATAAACCTGGCTTCTCTAGGGATAGCTAATAAATGACTCATGCACTGCTACATACTTTAATAGCACTGGCTCCTAAAGCAGTTCTATTAAAGATGTCTATTTTTATTCCTGCATCTTACTTCAGTGGAATTGAACACTGGCTCCATTAACCTAAGACATTTCTAAGGAATATCCATCTATCGTTTCCGCATTTTGTTAAAACATTTAAAGAATTAAAATGCACACGCAAATGAGAAGGAAATAAATTTTTCTGATTTACTATCTCCCCGCAAAGACTGAGTTATTGTTTCTAAGGGAATCTGAAAAAAATCTGACTAATGTGGAGAGTACTGCAGACCAGTGTAAGGGAACTTTACTTGTCAGAACGGCAGCACTATCCAAATTACTACAAAAACTTCGTTCTGTATCGCATCTCTTCACAGTATACCATCTACCACTTGAAGGTACATGGATTACCCCCTACAGTCTTTTGCAAGTCAAAGGTACTGAACTTGCATTAAAAAAAGGAGACAAGTAATGCTAATTGCAGAACTTCCTTAGAAAGGTAAGTAATTTCTCACCCAGCAGCTCCCAGAGAAAGTTGGTCAGCCTATAAATGATTACCAATAATCAGAACTTCCATACTTCAAGAACAAGTATAAAATTTTATCCTTCAAAATGTTAAACTGTTTTTGTGGACAAAGTGGAACTCTTAGGAAAAGAAATTGACTTACATTATAAGCTCATAGAAAGTAGACCAGATTAATTCCCTCACCCTCATTCTAAGTAAGAAATGGGTTGAGAGACTATTGAAAAAAAACCAACCTGGTAAGTGGGGCACAGGGATTAACCAATATTGCAGAGCCCAGCAGTAATAATGCAAACACACAGAAGCTGGGGAAGGTAAAATCATTCTTTCACATAACTGAGGTTTCTAGTAAATAAAGAGCTGTTACAAGCTACAAAAAAAATCCGAAAAACTGTTAAAAATTGAGCTTTTGCATCACCGATGGAAGATAAGAATATTCTGAATACAATCAGCAAAAGATTTTTGATTGCTATTTTTCAATCAAAATCTTTCCATTTGAGGAAATAAGCATTTCTGTTGACTGACCTGGTAAAATTGCTGCTTCTTCAGCTAAAAATAGTCTTCACAGTTTATTTACTGTGAATAAGTTTAAGGGTCAATCTAAGTATGACTTATTAAGTCTCATATCCAAGTGTAGTACTAGAATGTTTAATTAAAACATTATCATTATGATAGTTGTCTAATAAAATACAAAAGACATTCAGACCAATTCACATTACATTCTTTCTTCATGAAACTAAAGCAACTCTATCAATTTAAGCTATTAAAAAATAAACATCTGCGCCAAGTTTCTGCCTGATGTGATTTGACACAGGTGAGATACAGAGATTTATGACTGAAACACTGACAGATTCTTAATTCTACTATTGCTGGCGAGACACTATGACGACTAATAAGCACCTTATGTTTCAAGCTGTTCAAGTCTTTGGCAAGAAAAAGAGAATACAATAAAAGCCTCACTGTTAAGTTCTCTAGGGCTCTCATTGAGCCCTTCAGAGGAAGAGACAATTCAATTCAGTTGACTGGAACAATGAAGGTTTCTGTTTCCTGCTATAATGTGTCACAGGAATATAATAATGCCCCATTTCAATTATATATTAACTGCTAATGCTGAGGATTTATATGAGAAAACCACACTACACAGACTTGAAATGAAATGAGTAAAGACCAGCTGAAATTCCTATTTGGATTTCATAAAGCTTTTCATTAATGTGTTCATGACAACTACAAGTAATTAAACCTATTGTGTGCCATGTTTTACATTAATTTCCATAAGAAATGCATAGATTGCTTCCTTATTAAACTTCAGCACTACCAGAGATGATGTGTAAATATTTACTTGCTTGTGCAGTGACATGGCAGAAGGGGTTGGACTAGATGATCTTTAAAGGTCCCTTCCAACCTAAACCGTTCTATGATTATAATTTTCAAACAAAAGCGTGCTACTGCTCTGATGTTTCTATCACCTCCACATATCAGGGTGGGAATCTTCCAGAGAGATGAGTATTTATAACCAAAAGAAGATGCATGAACTAAAAGCAACAAATTCTATTACATTTTCAGACTTGTGTTCACAGCTGTTATACAGTACAATTAAGGTCCAGCAACAGGGTTACTGTCCAGCAGTGTCATACATTTGGTTTAATATTAAATTTAGCCTGAAAGCAATTTTCATTACAGCTGAAAGTAAAAGAAGGCAGTTAGCCTTACCTTGGGTAGATTTAAACATGCCTTGCTGTTTGCCAGCTGGCTTCCCTGGGGTAGCAGTCAGGACAGGATTGAACAGTTTCTCCTCCATTTTTGCCTCCTTTACATATTGACATGATTTCCCCAGCAATACAATACTGTTAAGAACTTTTAGAGATATTAACCTGAAAAAATAAAAGGATTTGTTTACATATTTGCATTAGTGTATCAAAATAATTGCATATTATTCATACTGCAATTATTAATATTAAAATAATTGCATATGGTTACTGCTGTCTTGGAAGGATTAGCTAACAAATTAAATCCCTTCAATAGCAAGATCAAAAGGTAATTTTCTTTTCCTAACAATTTGTTTCAGGTTCAATGCTTAATTTTTTTTCTTTTTTTTTTTTTTTTTTTTTCCTTTTTCAGAAGGCATCTAGAGAAAAAACATCCAAGTTTTATCATAGTTTAACAAAAGTACTACAAGGACAGTTAAGCAGCCATTTAATACATCAAATATTTAAACACAGAACTAAAAGGGTCCTCAACAATGGAAGTCCAAATTAAATGCACTACTGTTAAAACTGTAGCCTTAAGTATGCCCAGCCAAGGATCACTGGTGGACTTTGAATCACAAGAAAGCAAGTATCTAGCTTTCACAAATTACAGGCTAAACATAAGAAGTGCTTTTTCACATCACAAAAGACAGTCCATAAAACTCAACAAATCCAAAGAGGCGGCACAGCATTAGCATCATAGCACAGTCCAGTTGATGGCAGATTCCTTTTCTATTATTACTGATTTGCAGCACAAACTTCAGCAAATCACTGAAGTGCCTTTTATACCTGTCTTCTTATTCAAAGACAGGAAGGTCTCATCTACCATCAAGTGGTTTTAGATTTACAACTCAAATGAGCCTTGTAAAATCTAAGTTCCATTACTAGCATTACAAGGCACGCAGACCAATGTGCACTCCGGAGGTGAGAGCAGAGGTGATGCAGGTGAAGGTTTGCTATAGAACAACAAGGAAATAGTGATCTGTTCTCTGTAGGATGAATATACATATTCTCTACATAAATCAACCCATGTAACAAAAGTGAACCCAATGCAGACTCTAAATTCGTTCTCCACTCTCTGAAAAATCTGTTTATTATGTACATCACTAACAGACTAAAAAGAAGACTTGAAGTGAACATTCACAGATCCATGGAGTGGGTCTAACTGCTTAATCATAACGTGACCCAAGCACACTTCAGCAGCAGCTTCACTATCTCTCACTGCATTAACGTAATCAGAACTTGTCGAACAAAAACAAAGTACACCGCACTTTTAGGGGAATTTTTTGCAATACATTTACTTGTAGAAGAAATTTAGAGAAATGGAAGAATGAGCAGAGCAGATCACTTACAATACTCAGAAGAAACTGACATTTTAGTATCCAAGCAACCACAAAGAAGATATCATCTGTACAAGTTGAAAGCTGTGATTCTCTACAATTTTATTTGGTTATTGGGACAGATTTTGTTTCTGAGAGCTGACAAGCTCTCCATTTTTGATAAGTTTTAGAGGTGTTTTTTCTGCACTTCTTACGTAACATGCTTTTGTTCTGAGAGAGTAGGTGTTTACAGCATAATTTGACTCTGATTTAATGAGACCACAAGTTGAAAAGGCCAGAAATCAACACTTTACAGTATCAGTTCCAGCTTCTCATGGAAAATTATGCACGAGTTTCTAGCAATTTTCCTTCTTCTTTTTTGCCAGTTCACTCCAGGCTCAATTTCTAACAACAACGTAAGTTTGCAGTTGTTCGAAATAGTAGAAAAAGAAAACTCATGTTTCATATGCTGGGCAAGACTCTTTAATAGTATAACTTACAGTATTACAGTTGTTAAGTATCAATACAATGTCCTCCACATTATAGTCTCAATCCTTAGACCAGTTAACTGTTTCAGATTTTATCACATTGTTTCTCGCATATCTATGCTATACCAATCTGATAAAAAGCTGAAATTTATGTTCAGCACACAAATTACTTGAAAGATGCAAGAAGTCAGTTCACTCCAAATCTGAGATCATGGCAGAAGTAAAAATCTCTTCTCACTTTTCAATAAGGACAAAATAAACCAAAATGTATTTAGTCTTGCGACCTATGCCTTCAAAAAAATCAGCATTTAATCCTTCATATTAACAACATTACTCCCTCCTGCCCTCCATCCTCCAAGCCACAGAGACAGGGAAAAATGCAGGACTGGGCTGCAGCAGTGGAATGGTAGATG